AGCTTGTTTCTTTCATTATGATTTTTTTTCTTCTAACTATATACGTCAGAGAATTTTTATGGGTGATTTTTAATATTAAAACTAGATATCACTTACATTGTTGATTTTATTTGTATTACAGAACAAATAAATAATGATTTAATAAAAGAGATTGCGAAAAATAATGGTGTAAATAATTAAATAAAGGACTTTAGACTAGTATTATTTGTAAAGTATTGCAAGCGTGCATATGTTTGAGGTTGTCCGATAAGTTATATTAATAAATTGTCGCAAGCTTCCAAGCCCACAATGTAGTCTATCTTCACTATATGTGTCCGCGCCTCAATACGATATAGCTACCAAATTACTTGCGATATTGTATCTGGCCTCCAACACGATACCATTACCAAATAAAAGAAACATATACAAATATACCAGTTGAAGCATCCCTGTAGCAACATTCATAGTAAAATCAAAAGGTAATTGAAGGTTGACCAAACCATTAATCATTAGAAAAGGGTTACAAAACAATTCACAATTGTTTTGCCTCTCCAACTATGCAAAAATTTGTTTATTATTTTATAATTAATAATATCATTTTATCCAATAATATTAGTTAAATCTAATACAATTTCATTTATTTACAGACAAGAAAAGTTTTTTTATTCTTAATTAAAAAAATATGGATATAAAAAACAGAACACATTCTTAAAAATGACAATGCAAATATGGCTATGGAAGGAATAGCATTGCCAACCAACGTGAATACCTTTTCTACTTCAAATCTTTGGTTATTGTTTTTAATATAATCAATCAAACATTCACTTTCTCGCAATAAATTATCCACTCAACCAAGATTCAATCAAATATTAATATTATCTATATCGATATTAAAGATTCACCTATTAAATATGTCACAAATTCCACAATCTATTTTTTAATTATTTTTTTTTTATATTAAAAAAAAAAGATATATTATTAAAAATAAACAAATATATGTATAAGCATCTATAATATACTTTACATTGATTTGATACTGTATTGGTTTTCTATTATCAGAATATGATGATTTTATTAAAATTTTTTATAAATATTCTTATTATTAATGTCATTATGCCA